CTGGGAAGATCTGGGCTGTCCCTGGCAGGCACTGGGACAGTACTGGGAAGCACTGGGGAGGCAGTGGGCTGTCCCCCAGGGGACACTGGGGGGGTACTGGGAAGCACAGGAAAGCAATGGGCAGCTCTGGGAGGCACTGGGCTGCCCCCAGGGGGGCCCTGGGGCAGTACTGGGCGGCACTGGGAAGCTCTAGGAGGGACTGGGCTGTCCCTGGCAGGCACTGGGACAGTACTGGGCAGCACTGGGAGGCACTGGGCTGTCCTCCAGGGGGGAATGGGATGGTACTGGGAAGAATTGGGAAGCTCTGGGTGGTACTGGGCTGTCCCTGGTGAGCACTGGGGCAGTACTGGGAGGCACTGGGACGCTCTAGGAGGTACTGGGCTCTCCCCGGCGGGCACTGGGGCAGTACTGGGCAGCACTGGGAGGCACTGGGCTGTCCCTCAGGGGGCACTGGGGCAGCACTGGGGGGCTCTGGAAGGTACTGGGAAGCTCTGGACGATCCCTGGCAGGCACTGGAACAGTACTGGGCAGCACTGGGAGGCACTGGGCTGTCCCTCAGGGGGCACTGGGGCAGCACTGGGGGGCTCTGGAAGGTACTGGGAAGCTCTGGACGATCCCTGGCAGGCACTGGAACAGTACTGGGCAGCACTGGGAGGCACTGGGCTGTCCCTCAGGGGGCACTGGGGCAGCACTGGGGAGCTCTGGAAGGTACTGGGAAGCTCTGGACTATCCCTGGCAGGCACTGGAACAGTACTGGGCAGCACTGGGAGGCACTGGGATGTCCCCCACCTGGCACTGGGGTGGTACTGGGAAGCACAGGGAAGTACTGGGCAGCTCTGGGCGGCACTGGGCTGGCCCTGGTGAGCACTGGGGCAGTACTGGGCAGCACTGGGAGGCAGTGGGAAGCTCTGGGCAGCACCGGGCTGTCCCTGGAGGCCACTGGGGAGCTCTGGAAGGTACTGGGAAGCTCTGGGCTGTCCCCAGTAGGCACTGGAACAGTACTGGGAGGCACCGGGCTGTCTTCTGGGGGCACTGGGGTGGTACTGGGAAGCACAGGGAGGCACTGGGCTGCCCCTGGTGGGCACTGCCAGTACTGGGCAGCACTGGGAGGTAGTGGGTAGCTCTGGGAGGCACTGGGCTGCCCCCAGGAGGGTAGTGGGGCAGCACTGGGAGGCACTGGGAAGCTCTAGGAGGTACTGGGCTGTCCCTCAGGGGGCACTGGGGCAGCACTGGGGAGCTCTGGAAGGTATTGGGAAGCTCTGGGCTGTCCCTGGCAGGCACTGGGACAGTACTGGGAGGCACTGGGCTGTCCCCCAGGGGACACTGGGGGGGTACTGGGAAGCACAGGGAAGTACTGGGCAGCACTGGGAGGCACTGGGCTGCCTCCAAGGGGGCACTGGGGCAGTACTGGGAGGCACTGGGAAGCTCTAGGAGGTACTGGGCTGTCCCCGGCAGGCACTGGGACAGTACTGGGCAGCACTGGGAGGCACTGGGATGTCCCCCAGCGGGCACTGGAGTGGTACTGGGAAGCACTGGACAGCACTGGGAGGCACTGGGCTGTCCCTCAGGTGGCACTGGGGCAGCACTGGGGAGCTCTGGAAGGTACTGGGAAGATCTGGGCTGTCCCTGGCAGGCACTGGGACAGTACTGGGAAGCACTGGGGAGGCAGTGGGTTGTCCCCCAGGGGACACTGGGGGGGTACTGGGAAGCACAGGAAAGCAATGGGCAGCTCTGGGTGGCACTGGGCTGCCCCCAGGGGGGCACTGGGGCAGGCACTGGAACACTACTGGGCAGCACTGGGAGGCACTGGGCTGCCCCTGGTGGGCACTGGGGCAGCACTGGGGAGCTCTGGAAGGCACTGGGGTCTCCCCCAGGGGGCACTGGGGTGGGGGGGACTGGAACAGGACTGGGAGGCACTGGGCTGCCCCTGGTGGGCACTGGGGCAGCACTGGGGAGCTCTGGAAGGCACTGGGGTCTCCCCCAGGGGGCACTGGGGTGGGGGGGACTGGAACAGGACTGGGAGGCACTGGGCTGCCCCTGGTGGGCACTGGGGCAGCACTGGGGAGCTCTGGAAGGCACTGGGGTCTCCCCCAGGGGGCACTGGGGTGGGGGGGACTGGAACAGGACTGGGAGGCACTGGGCTGCCCCTGGTGGGCACTGGGGCAGCACTGGGGAGCTCTGGAAGGCACTGGGGTCTCCCCCAGGGGGCACTGGGGTGGGGGGGACTGGAACAGGACTGGGAGGCACTGGGCTGCCCCCAGGGGGGCACTGGGGCAGGCACTGGAACACTACTGGGCAGCACTGGGAGGCACTGGGCTGCCCCTGGTGGGCACTGGGGCAGCACTGGGGAGCTCTGGAAGGCACTGGGTTCTCCCCCAGGGGGCACTGGGGTGGGGGGCACTGGAACAGTACTGGGAGGCACTGGGTTGTCTCCTGGGGGCACTTGGAGTGGTACTGGGAAGCACAGGGAAGCACTGGGCTGCTATGGGGAGCACTTGGACAGTACTGGGCAGCACTGGGAGGTAGTGGGAAGGTCTGGGGGCACTGGACTGCCCCCGGGGGGGTACTGGGGCAGTACTGGGAGGCACTGGGTTGTCTCCTGGGGGCACTTGGAGTGGTACTGGGAAGCACCGGGAAGCACTGGGCTGCTATGGGGAGCACTTGGACAGTACTGGGCAGCACTGGGAGGTAGTGGGAAGCTCTGGGCTGTCCCTGGCAGGCACTGGGACAGTTCTGGGAGGCACTGGGCTGCCCTCCAGGGGGGAATGGGATGGTACTGGGAAGTACTGGGCAGCTCTGGGCGGCACTGGGCTGGCCCTGGTAAGCACTGGGGCAGCACTGGGCAGCACTGGGAGGTAGTGGGAAGCTCTGGGCTGTCCCCAGTAGGCACTAGAACAGTACTGGGAGGCACTGGGAAGCTCTAGGAGGTACTGGGCTGTCCCTCAGGGGGCACTGGGGTGGTACTGGGAAGCACTGGGCAGCACTGGGCGGCTCTGGGAAGCACTGGGCTGCACTGGGAGGCACTGGGAAGTACTGGGCTGCACTGGGAGGTAGTGGGAAGCTCTGGGAGGCAGTGGGCTGCCCCCAGGAGGGTAGTGGGGCAGCACTGGGAGGCACTGGGAAGCTCTAGGAGGTACTGGGCTGTCCCTCAGGGGGCACTGGGGTGGTACTGGGAAGCACTGGGCAGCACTGGGCGGCTCTGGGAAGCACTGGGCTGCCCCTGGTGGGCACTGGGGCAGCACTGGGGAGCTCTGGAAGGCACTGGGTTCTCCCCCAGGGGGCACTGGGGTGGGGGGCACTGGAACAGTACTGGGAGGCACTGGGTTGTCTCCTGGGGGCACTTGGAGTGGTACTGGGAAGCACAGGGAAGCACTGGGCTGCTATGGGGAGCACTTGGACAGTACTGGGCAGCACTGGGAGGTAGTGGGAAGGTCTGGGGGCACTGGACTGCCCCCGGGGGGGTACTGGGGCAGTACTGGGAGGCACTGGGAAGATCTAGGAGATACTGGGATGTCCCCTGGGGCACTGGATAGCACTGTTAGCTCTTGGGTGCACCGGATGTTCCCAGGGGGTACTGGGTGGTACTGGGCAGCCCTGGGAGGCACTGGGATGTCCCTGGGGGGCACTGGGGTGGTACTCAGAAGCCCTGAGGAGGGACTGGGAAGCTCTGGGAGGCACTGGAATGTCCCTGGAAGGCACTGGGGCAGCACTGGGAAGCTCTGCGAGGCACCCGGTAGATCTGGGAAGAACTGGGCCATCTCCAGGGGCGCTGAGAGGCTACTGGGAAGCACTGGGAGGCACTGGGATGTCCCTGGAGAGCACAGGGATTGTACTGGAAAGATCTGGGCGCACTGGGATGTCCCAGGGGTCACTGAGGTGGGACTGGGCAGGACTGGGAGGCACTGGTCTGTCCCTTCGGGGTACTGGGGTGGTATTAGGAAGCTCTGGGAAGCACCAGGCTGTCCCTGGAGGGCACTGGGGTGCTACTAGGCGGCACTGGGGTGCTACTGGGCAGCACTGGGAAACAACTGGGCTGTCCCAAGAGGCACTGAGTCGGTACTGGGAAGTTCTGGGAAACACTGGGCAGCTCTGGGAAGAAGTGGGTTGTCCCCGGGGAGCACTGGGTCAGTACTGGGCAGGGCTGGGAGGCACTAGTCTGTCCCTGGAGGGCACTGGGCGGCTCTGGGAAACAACTGGGATGTCTTAGAGGACACTGGGGCATTACTGGGCTGCTATGGGGGGCACTGGGCTGTTCCAAGAGGCACTGGGTCGGTACTGGGAAGTTCTGGGAAACACTGGGCAGCTCTGAGAAGAAGTGGGCTGTGCCCAGGGGAAGGCGGTACTGGGAAGCACATGGAGGCACTGGGAAGCTCTGGGATGCACTGGGACGTCCCTGGGGTACTGGGACGGTACTGGGCAGCTCTGGAATCCCTGGGCAGGCATTGGAAAGCTCTGTGAGGCACTGGGCAGCTCTGGGAAGCACTGGCCTGTCACTGGGGGGCACTGGGGCAGTACTGGGAAGGTCTGAAAGACACTGGGACGGCGCTGGGCAGCTCTGGGAGGTACTGGGCTGTCCCCGAGGGGCGCTGGGGCAGCACTGGGCAGCTCTGGGAGGCATGGGCTGTCCTCGGGGTGGCTCTGGGGCAGTACTGGGAAGCTCTGGGAGCCACTGGGCTGTCCCCGGGGAGGCACTGGTGTGGTACTGGGCGATTCTGGGAGGCACTGGGGTCCCCCCGCAGGGCGCTGGTGTGACAGTGGTCAGCTCTGGGACAGTACTGGGCAGCTCTGGGAGGCACCGGGCTGTGCCCGGTGGGCACTGGGCTACCACTGGAGTGTCACAGTCTCACCAGTAAGGCACTGGGGACACTGGGCGGCACTGTGGGACGCCGCTGGGTCCCCGCTCCGTTGCCAGGCGACATTGAGACGCCCGCGCATGAGCAACATGGCGCATGCCCCGCCGGACTACAACTCCCGGCAGGCCTTGCGCGGCCCTCGCTCCCGGCGTGCCCCGCGGCGCGGCCGGTCCCGCTGCCGCCGGCGGGGACCGGGGAAGGGGGGATCGCGGCGCCATGGCGGAGAACGGGGCAGCCTCTCGGCCGCCGCCGGACGTGGACGCCGACGAGTGTCTCCGCGAGTACCGCCACCTCTTCAGCCCCGACATCCTGGCGTGAGTGCGGGGGCGCTGAGGGCCTCCGGGGCACCGGGGGCAAGGCCGCGGCCTGCGCGCTGGTCGGGGTCGCCCCGAGGGGGCCGGCCGGGCTCTGACTGTCCCTTTGTCCCCTCAGGGGCCAGGTGGCGTTCATCACCGGCGGCGGCTCGGGCATCGGCTTCCGCATCGCCGAGATCTTCATGAGGTGCGGGAGACCGGGGGGGCCGTGGTGGTGCTCGGGGAGGGCTTGCCCGGCCTCCCTGAGTGCCGGTGGGACAGAGCGGGGGGAAGCTTCCCTTCCTTTCCCCTTTTCCTTTCCCCCCCCTTTTTTCCCCTTTTCCCCCTTCTTTCCCCCCTTCTTTCCATCC